CTGCTCAAATGGAAAAAAATAAGCATTAGAAATGAAAGTAACACCTGCTAGTCCTAAGGAAAGAACGTGGAATCTGTACGTACCTTTCCTCTTCTCCTTCCAGGAGTTTTCGGTAGGCACTGATCTCCATGTCCAGCGCTAGTTTAACATCAAGCAGCTCCTGGTACTCTGTAAGCTGCTGCTGCATCTGGTCCCTCATTTCTGTCATTTCCCTCTCCTTTGCATCTAGCATCTTCCTAAACTTTTCCCGCTCACCAGCCATCATTTCCTCCAATTCCCGAATGCGATCTTCTGCTGCACTAGCCTAGGTAGACAGCACAACGGAAAACGCAGTTGGCATCTATGTGGGTACAGTAAAAAAGTTAAAGATTCATCTCCCTCCCAAATGAACATAAAGATTTCTCTCTGTAAAATTCAGAAAATATGAAGGGACAGAAATGCTATATATCCAGAGAATACAGTGCTCTGTCTTAAGAGATGAAAGCAAATATAGTGCCTTTACCTGTTTCTGAAGGCCAGAAAGCTGGTAGCTGAGAGCTTCTATTCTCATGCGAGCCTCCTTCAACTCCTCTCGAGCTGCCCCGGCAGCTTTGTCATTTTGGTCAGAGGACAGTTTGGCATTCTCCAGCTGGAAGGCAAGTTTTATACAAGTCACTTGCAGTGAGTTAGATATCCCATAAATATTATTTTGGTAAACAATAGAAGCTATATAATGTTAAATAATTTTAAATGGAAATCTGGTAAGTTAATGAGAAGAATCGCATAAGATTAAGGAAATGCCCTAAGGACCAGGAAAATCTATTTCAGTCCTATTCCTATAGGATTTGCTTATGCTATTAAAAAAATAGTCTATTAGCCCTTCCGTTACGCAAGCAGCCTTACGTTTCCAAAAACTGAGGCTCACGTGATCACGCTATCTGCCTGTTTGTCATAAGAGCAATCACCGTGGGTCAGAGGGAAGGCTGCCTAGTTCACGGCCTGGACTAACAGTTCCCTGGATGCCAGGGACTATGGCAATAAAATATTCCACGGGTACTGTGATTCAGGTGGCCATTTCCAGCTCAGGGACTTCCTAAGCCTCAAAATACTGTTTCTGGCGTACTATCTCAGCGGATTTTTCAGGCAGGAATTTGTCTCTGCTTTCTAAATTTATGGGGCGAGGAGTTTAGCTTTATATTAACGAACATCAACCTTCTTTTGTTTCTTCCGAATCTGCCACTGGACATTCACTGTCCCTACTTCTACTGAAAAATAATAAACAATTACTTCTCATTGTCCGTGCTATTTATCCTTTTACAGGCATCCACTGTACCTTCCCCTTCTCTCGACCCATCTCTTTTCCCAGGTGAAGTTTTATTTTAAAAACTTTCCTCTACAGGACCTGTTTCATACTCTTAATTGTCTTTGTTAGTCTTCTCTGCCTTACTCGGTACTACCTTTTCAAGAAGGACTGAAACGACCCACAGCACTCCGGATGACATCCTGCCCCAGGGGCAAAGCAATGCTTTG